AGAAACGTGCTGTATTGGTCACGTCATGCAGCCAATACACTCGTTACCGCGGAAGTTACTTGAGGCGTGTCAAACGGCGCGTGGGTTTGGGCGCGGCGCCAGCTTCCAGCGCAACAATCATAGAACGTTCGAAGACCCAACGATCCACGAAAGACAGGTTGGCACTGCGCTAAATCCCCGCCGGAACGCCCCAATGACTTCAGTGATAACAACTGTAGCGGGCCAGCATATGCAGACATCTGAAACTCTTTTCGGGGCGGTGTCAGCACACATTCGCCTTTACTCACCGTACCTGATTGTTGTGATGAACGGAAAAGAGAATGTCCCCAGTTCTGGGCTGTCCGAATGTGACCAGTTTGACTTCGCTCGAATTTGCAAGACGTGATCCAACTAAGAAAGAAGCCGCCAGTGATGCTACTGATCCCCCAAGAGAATGCCCAGTAACCTGCAAAGCACAGATTTTTTCTTGGAAAAAAGGGAGGGGGAGCCTCACATCAACTCATGTACCTACCCAAATTTCGTAATTTGGATACATTGCTCTCAATGCTCGGAAATCGGCATCCATCCCATGGCTCCAGATTTTGCTGAATGCATCGCTGAAGTACGCGGATATTCTGCCACCAAAAAGCCACGATGCCTGGAATTTTTCATTGCTCTCGTGCTACAAACGAATGAATGAAGCTGAAAGAATTACCAAATGTAAGAAGACTGTTTTGGTGATTTCCTGAAGTAGTTGGAGGAAACGTATTGTTCCTCTGAATATAAGAAAAACTTTTTTTGTAACGGAAACGAGAATACGGCCAACGAGCAACTGAACATGCTCACCTGAAACTCAGCACAATTGCTTTCTCGTTGTGGAGAACGGCAGTGAACCCGGAGCAGGTGTCCTTTTTGAAGCTATCACATGACACCGTGACTTGACGATGAAGCTGTAAATTTGCTAGTTCGATCTTGCGGCTAAATGGAGCTACCCACAGGAGACAATCAAGGGCTGAAACCGCTCACTGTTGCATTTTTGAACAGTCGGCTGAGACATTGCTGCGGCTGGTCCGAATAGGCCGCTGCACTCAGCGGAAGCATGAAATTTCTTGCCAGAGGGTCCGAGTACTGCGGAGCAGCGTTAGCAGCTTGTACCACAAGGAAGACGACAAGAAGGATCACTATCCCAGAACTCATCTGAAAATTATCCTCAAAAAGGCCGTCCACTTCTTTTCCAGCAATATTAACTGAAATTCTTTGATCGCGTATGATTCGGATACAGGGCAGCCTTCTCAGCAGAAATAGTAAAGATTTTTTAATGTTTCAAGAGTTGTGAGAAGTCATCAACTTTGAACAAACAGTTCTTCAGTGAGTTTTCTTTCAGCTGAAATTGAAAATTATGTGATATTCCGACGATGACACGCGCGGTCGCGGCGCGTCACCCTACGCAAACGCATGACATTGAAGCTGCTGGGATAGGCGGGCGTGAACTTCGCGAGCTTTCAATAGATTGAAATTCATAGCAAAAATGTTGCAGAGTTCGAGTGCTTGTTGCCTGCGTAAAAATCCGAAACTGAAATGATGAAAGCTACAGGCCGAAGCTTAATGAGAAACACTCCAGATGGCAACACAAGAATCTATTTTAGCACAGTTTTTGTCGCCTACAAGGCCCAGTAATCTGGACACTTGGCTCGGAATCCAGGAAACGACTTTATAGCGCCATAATCAGATGTAAAAAGTGCGATATCATGCCATCCCCTTTAATGGCTGACATCTGTTAATGTGGCTCCTTCTAATCAGACACCGTCTATCAAACTCCATGTTAACAATTATGTCACGCTCACATATTTTTTACAAGTCATGGAGAGCTTTGCAAATTTGGAATATGATAATGGACGGGAGCAACTCGCGTCAGCATCCCTGCTGATGCGAGCATTAGCGTAGCAACTGTGAGCACCTCCTCACCTACTGGGGAAGCGCTCCAGGAAGAAGAGGCTGTTGGTGGTGGGCAGTTACCGAGCGCTGATTCCGAGCCTTCTTCCCAAATTTGCGAAGCAGTTTTCTTATGTACCTAAACCCCTCAGGAATGCCAGAAGCATTACACAACAACTCTCAATGCCTGGAGTTTCACCCTTCAGCGTTCAGGATCGCCGTCGCAGGTCCCGATTCCAGTTGATTCACACCTTTTCTTTTCTGTGGTTAATCTGGTCCTCAGAAAGTGGTCCGTCATGCCGCTGACACTCACCTATGCGAATCTGATTGGTAGATCAAATTATTGATTTTGATTTCTGATCTCTGATGCCGCTCAGTCTCTTCGAACATTTGAGCCGAAATTCGCTTATGTGTAGTTAATCTGGAAGGAGTCGTCAAATTATGGTTCCAAATGGGACAATGGAAACAACAAAAACTCTCTGGATCTCCTAAGCACAACATAGGGAGCTCATCTGGCCTTTAGTGGCCATTGGGACTACTGAAACCAAATGGAATTCATAAATAGTTTCTTTATCGTCGGCGACGACATGTCACCTTTTATTGACATTGAGGTCACGTGATTGAGCGACTTTTCAACATGCCACATTATCTTCTCCCATTGTCATTCCTGCGCTTTTTTCCCCAATTTTATGGGACCAAACGAGGATAGCTCTGATGTTTTGTGTACATACACTTCGTAGTTGAAAGATCAAGGCGGCAGACGAATTTGGCGGTTATTCGGAGGGAAACGGTGGAAGATCCTAACGGGCCCGGCATGCGCGGACTCCGATCATAGGGTTCTTCATTTCCCTTGCTTCAGAAGTGCCAGTTCTGCAGCAGTCACAA